GGACTCGAGTCGAGTTGGGACAGAGCACCGAGCTCGATCGAGTTGTGGGTCGAGTTAGCGGAAAAGACAGTAAAGGTGACGACTTTAACAAGATAAAGAGAGAATTAGGGTTCAAGACAGGGTTTTGCAATCAAAGGAATCTACACTTAATCAATCTAGCTCTTAAAACTCCTTGTATCAAGGCTTCTCTTGATATTGGGCTTCTCAATGCCTACCAACCCTTTCCCAAGGTGAGGCTATCAACCAAGGAATGATCTCAGAAACAGGGGGTTAGCCAGTGAGAATCAAACCTTGGAGGCATAGGATCATTGCCCAAACTAATCCATCCAACCCCTTAGACCTCTATTGTCTAGAGCAAGAGATATTGGAGCTCTTAGTGGATCTTTTCCAGCGAATGCCATCACTTCCGTGTGGGGAGTCGCCTAAGGACTTACAAGCCAGGGGTAGTGGTCATGTAGCCTTAAGATCTATCCAAAAGAGAGAGAATCTAGATTAAGACCATAAGCTAGAAGGATTAAGCATATGAAACCTCTAATCTATCCCATCTCAAACCCTAATGGGTAACTACTCACTACACATGAATGTAAACACAAGCAAATGCAATGAAATAGACATCATAAGAAAGAGGAGATGAAATTAAAACTTTTATTGAAATAAGCAAGTGCAAATACAAAGCAAATAATCCAGGATCTAAGATTCAAGAAGCAAGAGCTTCAAGAACACAAAGATGGGATTAGGTTCTAAAAAGTAAAGACAATAAATTAAAGAAAGCTAAAACAAAGATAATCTAAAGCTTGGTGGTTTTTTCGTGGCTTAGAGCCTTTAAATACAAAGAGGATTAGGTTTAGGGTCAAAGGGAAAGTCAAGGGGGAAGCAACATTTTTCGGGTTTGACTTTGACTTCCCCAGCTCGATCGAGTTGAAGCTTGGCCGGTCGAGTTGAGGAACTCGACCGGTTGGTCGAGTGGACGGTCGAGCTGGTCTTCAAGATGGCTTCTCCCTTCTTCCTTTGCGTGTCCAGTTGAGCTGCTTCCATGTGCCAAGTCCCTCCATGCTCCTTATGTCCCATATGCTCCAGAATGCTCCAAAAGACCTATTTCAAAGGACCAAACATGCATATGTATGCAAATGCAACCTAAAACTAACATGAATGCATAAGAAGAGAAAAGGAACAAGATATGATGCAAATGGAAGCTAAAACTATGCAAAAGATGCATAAAAGATGTGCTAAAACTATGTAAAATGCAAGTACATCAACACCCCCAAACTTGAACTTTGCTTGCCCTCAAGCAAACAAATAGAACAAGAAAGAGATGAGGTTTGAAAACAAGCTGATTCAACACTTAAAAACATGTCCTCAAAAGCGATTTGCTAAATGTCCAACTTAGAGATTCTAGAATGCAACAAGGTGAGAGATATTCATTAAGATTTAACCATGCTTATCAACATCAATCCCACTTCACAGTCACTCAAACAATGCATTCAAATCAGCAAATCCCTTTAACATTCATTAAGCAAAAACAGTGAACCAAAAACATGCAAGATCAATCAACTCATTTGGTTTCAAGGGTTTATGGGTTAAGAGACAAAGAGGGTCTCTTTTGTATGGTGGTTTAGTAACAGGGATCTCTCAAGAAAGTGGCTTTGCTTTGGCAGAAGGCTAAGTGTTAGAACCAAAGATGATGCAAGAACAGCAGCTCGAGCCGCCTAATCCTAACTCGATCGAGTTCAACACTTAGAGCTTTTTAGAACAAAATCCTAACTACCCTTTTTGGCATTTCGCCTTTGAAACTGAGGAGCTTTGCTCACTTTTCTTTTAAGAACTTCCTAGGGAGAGGCTTCTTGAGGTAACATCTAGCGGTTTGGGATTTTCTAAACACTTAGGGAACTTTTCTTTCCTTTTTGGACACTTGAGGCTTTGCCTTCTTTTCATTCTACTTAGAACCCTTTTTACTTTCCTTTTTTAACTTCCCAAACCTTTACTAGACCCTTTTTAAACACTGCCAACTCCCTGGACTTAACTAAACTCTTTTTCCTTTGGGTTTTTCCCAACTTTTACCACTTTTCTGGTTTTTACACCCAACTCGATCGAGCTCGAGTTGGCACCCCCAAACTTAGCCTGAAAACAATCCCAAGAGAACTAGACAACTAGAACTACTGCCCCTGCCGGTTTAAACACAACACCTTATGCTAAGCAAAGCCAAGAAAGGTTCTCACAATCGCACAAGAGATAATATGGGGTTTGAAATGAAAAGGCTTAGGTTTAAGGTGTGGTAACTGTCTCAAAGATAGAGATCAGCTATCTGGACAAGCAAAAGGGATATGAAAAGTGAAAGAATGTCCAGATATGTATGTGGTAGCCATGAGTTGAAATCAAATGCAAGCATTGGTAATTAAAGATCAAGTTATGGTTCAATAGATAGGGAAATGCATCAAATCACAGCAATGGTTGAATGAGATGTGCATGCAGCGATATGATCAAGATAAACATGGTTCTTGCTGCTCAATCAATCTCACCCTAATGCACAAAAGAATCTAAAAACAGGGCACTCAAGAAATCGCAAAAGATGGACAAGTTTTCAAAGTCAAATCAACAATGCAAGTGAAAATGCAATCCTAAACAAGTCTAACAAATATGAATGCAAAAAGATGAAAATATTTTTGGATTTTTTGAAAATTTTATGATTTTTTTGGTTTTTCTATGCAAAAGATAATGAAAAACTAAGAACAAAGAAAACAAGGTTAAATCATCTCTTGAACCCTCCCCCAAACTTAAATCACACAGTCCCTTGTGTGAGAAAAATTTAGTGAAAGATTCAAGAGGGCAAAACCAAGAAAAAACAAGAACAAAATGCAAGAAAATATGAAATGGTATATACAAGGGTTGGTGTTTGGATACCTCAGTGCCCCCCAAAGAACTGGGAGGCTAGGTCGTGGTCTGGAGATGGGAGACGGCCATCAGGAGCACTCCATGCAACTGGGGTTGCCTCTTGCGGCTCACTCGATCGAGCTTGTGGCTCCTCTTCGAGTTGTGCTCGAGTTGACCAGCTCGTCTTCCCAAAACCTGCTCCTGTAAGACTTCAGCCAAGAAAAATCATAAAAGTAAAAGGACAAAGTATAAATGCATTTTGGATGGTAAATGCAAAGGGAAAGTATAAGTGCTTTTACCATCAAAGTATAAGTGCTTTTACCATGCAACTGATGTACTTGCATTTTACATAGTTTTAGCACATCTTTTATGCATCTTTTGCATAGTTTTAGCTTCCATTTGCATCATATCTTGTTCCTTTTCTCTTCTTATGCATTCATGTTAGTTTTAGGTTGCATTTGCATACATATGCATGTTTGGTCCTTTGAAATAGGTCTTTTGGAGCATTCTGGAGCATATGGGACATGAGGAGCATGGAGGGACTTGGCACATGGACGCAGCTCAACTGGATACGCAAAGGAAGAAGGGAGAAGCCATCTTGAAGACCAGCTCGACCGTCCACTCGACCAACCGGTCGAGTTCCTCAACTCGACCGGCCAAGCTTCAACTCGATCGAGCTGAGAAGTCAAAGTCAAACCCGAAAAATGTTGCTTCCCCCTTGACTTTCCTTTGACCCTAAACCTAATCCTCTTGTATTTAAAGGCTCTAAGCCACGAAAAAACCACCAAGCTTTAGATTATTTTGTTTTAGTTTCTTTAATTTTATTGTCTTTTACTTTTTAGAATCTAATCCCATCTTTGTGTTCTTGAAGCTCTTGCTTCTTGAATCTTAGATCCTGGATTAATCTCTTTGTATTTGCACTTGCTTATTTCAATAAAAGTTTTTAATTTCATCTCCTCTTTCTTATGATGTCTCTTTTATTGCATTTGCTTGTGTTTACATTCATGTGTAGTGAGTAGTTACCCATTAGGGTTTGAGATGGGATAGATTAGAGGTTTCATATGCTTAATCCTTCTAGCTTATGGTCTTAATCTAGATTCTCTCTCTTTTGGATAGATCTTAAGGCTACATGACCACTACCCCTGGCTTGTAAGTCCTTAGGCGATTCCCCACACGAAGTGATGGCATTCGCTGGAAAAGATCCACTAAGAGCTCCAATATCTCTTGCTCTAGACAATAGAGGTCTAAGGGGTTGGATGGATTAGTTTGGGCAATGATCCTATAGCCTCCAAGGTTTGATTCTCACTGGCTAACCCCCTGTTTCTGAGATCATTCCTTGGTTGATAGCCTCCACCTTGGGAAAGGGTTGGCTAGGCATTGAGAAGCCCAATATCAAGAGAAGCCTTGATACAAGGAGTTTTAAGAGCTAGATTGATTAAGTGTAGATTCCTTTGATTGCAAAACCCTGTCTTGAACCCTAATTCTCTCTTTATCTTGTTAAAGTCGTCACCTTTACTGTTTTTGCTAACTCGACCCTACAACTCGATCGAGCTGGTACTCTGTTCCACTCGACTCGAGTCCTTGGTCGAGCTACTTGTTTCACTGCTTTGTTTACTTTTATTGCACTGCATTTTCATTTTTAGGTTGTTAGTGTTACTTCAAATCTATAACTGCTTGCTTGACTTCTGGTTGTTTCATATTCTCATAGAGTGACAAGTTTCCCATTTTGGATTGATAACCTCTTATACTTCAATGACTATGATGGTTAAGAGGAATTGTTGACTGTGTTTGTGTTTGCATCTTACCACCATCATTACCACTGATTGCATTCCACTCATCTCATTTCATATCTTTTCACATCCACACACAAACATTTACCATCAATTTCACATGGTAAATGCATTTACAAAGTAAATGTATAAGATTCTCCACATGGAAGTGATGGAAATCGCTGGAAAAGATCCACTAAGAGCTCCAATATCTCTTGCTCTAGACAATAGAGGTCTAAGGGGTTGGATGGATTAGTTTGGGCAATGATCCTATGGCCTCCAAGGTTTGATTCTCACTGGCTAACCCCCTGTTTCTGAGATCATTCCTTGGTTGATAGCCTCACCTTGGGAAAGGGTTGGCTAGGCATTGAGAAGCCCAATATCAAGAGAAGCCTTGATACAAGGAGTTTTAAGAGCTAGATTGATTAAGTGTAGATTCCTTTGATTGCAAAACCCTGTCTTGAACCCTAATTTCTCTTTAGCTTGTTAAAGTCGTCACCTTTAGCTTTTTCTTCAACTCGACCCTAAACTCGATCGAGCTCGGTACTCTGTTCCACTCGACTCGACTTGGTCGAGCTGTCCTTGGTCGAGCTGTTGCTCTACTGCTTTACTTTTATCTGCATTGCATTTCATTTTTAGGTTGTTAGTGTTACTTCAAATCTATTACTGCTTGCTTGACTTTCTTGTTGTTTCATATTCTCATAGAGTGACAAGTTTCCCATTTTGGATTGATAACCTCTTATACTACATGACTATGATGGTTAAGAGGAATTGATTGATTGTGATTGCACCATTTCATCTTTATTCACCCTGTTTGCATTCCACCTCATTTCATTCATATCATTCACATCCACACAAAATCCTATCATCAATTTGGCGCCGTTGCCGATTTGGGATATTTTTGTTGCATTTGAGTTTCAAACACACTTGGACGATCAAGCTATACCACCCCTGTTCTATTGTACTGCTGGGTTTTTGTCTCTTTTTGCAGGTGTATGCGAACTCGATCGAGTCGGTCTACAGAGACTTGGTCGAGCTAGACTTACAACGGGTAGAAAGAGGGTTCAGAGGTCACAGAGGGTACAAGAGGAACCTGAGGTGCTTGTTGCTGATACAATGGATGTACCAGAGGGGAATGGAAACCCTTTGGGCAATGGACTCGGTCGAGCTAGGCAAACTCGACCGATTGGTCAAGGAGATGCTCCAAACCGCCACCAACAGAGACAAGGGATTGTTCCACCACCAGTGCAGAACCACAACTTTGAGATCAAGCTGGGAATGATCAACCTTGTCAGAACAAGATGTTCCATGGATTGCCAAGTGAAGACCCCATTGACCACCTTGATGAGTTTGATAGGCTTTGTGATTTGACAAAGATCAATGGTGTCTCTGAAGATGCCATCAAGCTGAGACTCTTTCCTATGTCTCTAGCTGACAAAGCTCACCAATGGGAGAAGAGCTTGCCCCATGGCACAATCACCACTTGGGATGAATGCAAGAAGGCCTTTCTTGCTAAGTTTTTCTCCACCGGTCGCACAGCCAAGCTTAGAGGAGAGATATCCAGCTTCATCCAGCGAAACAATGAGACATTCGCAGAGGCTTGGGAGAGGTTCAAAGGGCTACACAAGTCAGTGCCCACACCATGGATTCAACAATGAATCACTACTCTCCACTCTTTATAGAGGATGCTTGCCTAGGTATAGGGAGATGCTAGACACAGCTAGCAATGGGAACTTCCTCAACCAGGATGTAGATGATGGCTGGCAACTTGTGGAGAACATAGCTAACTCAAATGGAAGCTATGGAGAAGAGTATGATCGCACCAACCGGAGCTCGACCCACCACTCGATCGAGTCAGACGAAAAGTTGAGAAAAGATGTTAAGGCATTGAATGAGAAGTTGGATAAGCTGATCCTAGCTCAGTCCACAATGAAGAAAGTCAACTTTGTGTCTGCTGAGGAGATGGAACCAGTCCAAGAAGGGGAGGATACACAATTTGCTGAGGTGTGCTACATGAGCAATGGGCAAGGAGGTTACAACAAAGGATACTATAATTACAAGTCCAACCCTGCCATGTCATACCGCAACACTGATGTTGCTAACCCTCAGGACCAAGTATATCCTCAACAACAAGCAGCTCGATCGAGTCAAGGTGCCACAACATGGGTATGGTCAAAAGAACAATTACCAAGGACCACAAGGCACTTTCCCTGGACAACAAATGAATATACCACCAGGCTTTCCCCACCAACCACCCCAGCCTGCACCTTCACAAGAGAATGAGCTCAAGGCAATGCTAAAGCAACTACTTCAAGGGCAAGCTGATGGGGTAGTGGACACAAGCAAGAAGCTAGCTGAAATAAACTCAAGATCGAGAACCTCAACACAAGGGTTTACTCTCTGGAGAATCATGCTTCTTCTGTTGCTGCTGCTACAAAGCAAGGACAACTACCTGGTAAAGCTATTCAGAACCCCAAGGAACAGTGCAAGGTCATCTTCACTCAAGAAGGACTTGTTGAAGAAGAGGATCAAGAAAGGGTCATTGAAGATTTTTGTTTACTGCTGAATGATGAAGAGATTGTTGCTGCTGAGGCTCCTGGAGTCCAGATTGATCAACCAGAAGTGCAGGCACCTACTGTGGCCATTCACACTTCACCAGTTGAGCTCGCACAACAAGCTCGATCGGCAGCTCGATCGAGTCAACTCTAGCTCGATCGAGTCCGACCTCTTCTGTCCCAAACATTTTGCTTGATCCTTACCAACCGGTTGCCACTTCCTCGTCTCGCCTACTTAGTCAAGGTCACAAGGAAGTGATTCACAAGTTCAGAAGAGATCTCAGTGGGATTGGAATTGAGTTGCCTCCTATGGATAGCATGAGTGAGGCATTTGATCAAATGCAAATGGTCAAGGATGTTCTAGCCAACAGTGATAAAGTTTCAGAGGTCCTACAAGAGTCTACTCATCAGTTCAACCTGCTTACTTCACCCACCTTCCTACCAAAGGTCAAGGATCAAGGGAAATTCACTCTCCCTTGCACACTTGGGCATCTTGAGCTTGACAATGCCTTAGTGGATTCTGGAGCAAGCATCAATCTGATCTCTCTCTCCATGGCAGAGAAGCTAGGCATTGCTGGAGCCTTGCAGCGCCCTACTACTTCAATCATGTTTGGAGATGCAACTTCTAAGTCTCCTCTTGGAGTGTTCAAGAACTATCACTTGAAAATTGGAGAATGCATCATCCAAACTGATCTCACTGTGATGGAAATGGAAGAAGAGAAGGATCTACCTCTGTTATTGGGAACCCCTTTCCTTAGTACAGTTGGCGCTTCAATAGACTTTCACAAGCAAGAAGTGATCCTTCACAAGGTGAATAGTTTGGTGTCATATCGCTTGCAGCCTAGAGGTTCAGACTTTTGTGCCACAATTGACAGTACCAACTCTCAGTTCTAAGAGTCATGGAGCTACAAAGGTTGTGAAGGAAAGGGTTGACAAAGAACCAAGAGTTGGGAAGGATAAGGTTGAGAGAGGACCAAGGATTGAGAAGCCACGTCTTGAGAGGGCTAGAGTTGAGAAACCACGTTCTGATAGGCCACGAGCTGATCGACTTGTTCAAGCCCCTTGTGTGCTTGATGAAGAGAGCCTTCAAGCTTTGTTTGATGAGCCACTAGGAAGGGCTCTAAAAGAAGGGGAGGATGTAGCCTCTAAGGCAAGACCAGGGATAAAAGAAAAGATCCACCAGCTCAGGCCCCTTCATCAAGCCATCTCAGCTCACAATGACTTTGTTCCCCACCAAGTTTGAAAATGGGAAGATTGAGTACAAGATAAGGTACAAGGGGAGATCAAGGCCATTCTCTAGAGCCAAGCCTTGGTGACTTCAGAACAGTCCAGGGACCCAACCAAGCTAAAGGAGCTTCTGTCTCAAGTCCTCACTATCACCCTTGATGGTGGGACTAGCTCAACCAATGCCTAAGAAGGTAAAGGTCAAGCTATGGGACCTTAAACAAGCTCACTTGGGAGGAAGTCCCATGTTTATCCTTGTACATATTCTATTTATGCAATTTCTATCTATTTTGTGTTTTAACCTTTCAATAAGTTAAGTTTAGGTGTCAAAGGAGCCAGCTCGACCGACAGCTCGATCGAGCTAGAAACCAGGGCAACTCGATCGAGTTCCACAACTCGACCGAGGTAAGTTTTTGAATTTCAAATTCATAACCGTTTTCTTGGTCAAGGGAGTGGGTCCCACAAGCTGATTTTGGTCCCCCACTACCCTAATTGATCAGAAATCCCTAGCTTTTGTTCCCCTCTTTATTTCACCTTTTAATCTCAACCACACATCTCAAACACTCCCTCTTCCCCATAACTCGATCGAACCCACTTCTCCACTCTCCCACACTAAAATTTCTGAAACCATCTCTCTCTCTCTTCACCACAAGAAAAATCGAATTTCAATCTTTCTCTCTTAAGTTTTTGCGATTTCTCTTGTTCTTCATTGCTTTGTTTGGGTTTTAGTTTACTGCTCTTCAATTCATCATTCAACAAGGTATGAACCCTAAAACCCTTGATTCCTCCATCTCGATTTCCATTATTGCTTGTTTCCTCTTTGATTTTTGATTGCATGTGTCCCTTGGGACTTGTTGAGTAATTGCTTTCATATTTCTCCTGCTATAATTTTGAATTTGCCTCACCTCACCTCTGTTTTGCCTTTAGAACTTGTTGCATGTGCTTGAAAATTGAATTTGAGTTTGGTATTGGTTAAGATGCTTAGTGCTTCACTAGAATTGCTCATTGTTCCATTTACTAGTTGTTCTTGGTTCAATTTGATTGATTAGCATCCTTTCCAGCTCTTAATACTTGAATTAGGTTCGGTTATACTCTGTTTTCACCTAGCTCGATCGAGTTTGTCACTCGAGTTTTTTGACTCGATCGAGCTGAGTGTCGAGTTGACCAAACCGATCATTACAACTCTAATTCTTTGTAATCTTTGATGCATTTCAGGTACTTTAGTGAAGAAACAGTGTAACAGAGATGACAAACAGTGAGGGAAGTCGTGCTTCACAAAGGAGATGGTTGAGGGTGAATCAAGCAATGCAAGGGAAAGAAGGCTTAAGATGCAAGCCGATTTGGAGAGGATGATCAAAGGATGGAAGAGTCTGATGCAGAGGAGTATGTGTACTCTGAGGAAGAATCTGAGAGTGAGAGATTGAGGGAGGAGAGGAGGACCAAGAAGAGGAATGACCCCATTAGTAGTGAGAGTGAGCAAGGGGAGTTTGAGATTGGAGTGAACCTTGTTCAAGAGGAAGGAAGTGATGAGACTGAGAGTGAAGAGGAAGGAGAAGAGGTGAATCAAGTTGGTTGAGAGAGTGAGCAAGAGAGTAACCAAGATGAACCTATGGAGGAGGTTGAGCCACAAGAGGAGCCAAGAGGAGGAGGAAGAACTCCCATGTACCAAGAGCATTACAATGCTCTCTTCTCCATGGACTTCATGGAGACCAAGTACCCACATGTTGACACAATGAAGGCCCTTGGAATCTTTGAAGATGTGGAGTTGGTCTCAAGAACATGCACTTGGCCAAGCTTCTTCTCTTATCACATGGAATCCTACAAGGAGCTCACTTGCGAGTTCTTAGCTTCAATGAGGTACCACATGTATGAGAGGAAGATAGAGCTGATTTGGACCAAGGATTGGGATGGATCACGTTCTTGGCTAAGGGAGAGAAGAGAATGGTGACCTTTAGGCAGTTGGAGATCTTGTTTGGGTTCAACTATGGAGAAGGTACCAAGTGGAACTTCAAGGAAAGGAACTCCAAAGGGTTTGGGCTACAATCGCTGATGGAGTGTACTCTTCCTCAAGGTCCAAGGCAGCTCAAATCAGGAGCCCAGTGTTGAGGTATGTGCACAAGGCACTTGCCAACACCTTCTTTGCAAGGAAGGCGACCGGGACCATCAACGAGGGGGAACTCAAGTTTCTTGACATGGGAATCAAGCCCATTCTCTCACGCACAAGCGATGGCAAGAGGATCAGGGGAGATAGATCACACAGGAACTTGATGCCTTTCCTTGACCATCTCCTCACCTACAAGATCACAGCCTACAACACTAGACATCAACGAGGGAAGGCGCTAAGTGTTGGAGGGCTCATCACACCTATCTTGTGTGCTGCTGGAGTGAACCCAACTGACAAGAAGCCACTGAACCAGGTTGGATGGACATCAAGTTTTGCAAGACCAACCTTCTCATTGAGCACAAGGAGTTGGATGGGAGGTTCCAATTCAAGTTCACACATCCATTGGTTGGACCCTCCAAGCTTCTCCTGCCCAACCCTGAGCTCACCACAGTAGTCAGGGGTGAGAACATTGACTTCAGACCCCCTGTGTACACATTAGTTGGGCATGAGATGTTTGCGAGAAGAGGAGCCTGAGCTCGATCGAGCTGAGGATCGAGCTGAGTCAAGCTGAGGATCAGGTCCAGGAAGTGCGGATTTGGGTGAGCCTGAGTGCTATTATTTTGAGGAGTATGAGGCTCCAAGGATGAACCCCTCTGTTGTGGCTGCCCACAAGAGGATTGGACTTCTCCAAAAGTTCAACAAATGGCAAGGGAAAGCCATTGAAAAGATGCAAAAGTCCATGGACAAGATGGTGAGCAAGATCAAAAGTTTGGAGAAGAAGGTTTCTGGTTCTTCAAGCAAGAAGAAGAAGGCCCCATGAGTTCCACATTCCTTAGGAGTAGATCCTTCCTCACCACTCCAAGGAGGCTCCCTGCCCAAGAGCCTCACAGAGCCTCTTCTTTCGAGCCAAGGGAAGGAGAAGACAACACGCAGAGAAGGAGGAAGAGCTCTAAGGCCAGACGCTCCAGCTCGACCACCGGACTCGATCGAGTCCAAACAGAGGAAACTCAACTCGATCGAGCTGACGGTCGAGTTGACCTGGAGGAGCCCCAGTTTGAGGATCCGGGATTTCGATACGATCCAACGCCTTACCAGGAGACCCTCAGTAGATGGAACCCCTATGGCTTACGAGCTAGCCATGCTCCACCAAGGCCAAGGAAGCCACACACACTTTCGATGAAGAAGAGGAAGAAGAGGAGCCGCAAGCTCGATCGAGTGAGGCAACCCAGTCGAGTGGAGTGCTCCTGATGGCCGTCTCCCATCTCCAGACCACGACCTAGCCTCCCAGTTCTTTGGGGGGCACTGAGGTATCCAAACACCAACCCTTGTATATACCATTTCATATTTTCTTTGCTTTGTTTTGTTTTTCTTGGTTTTGCCCTCTTGAATCTTTCACTAAATTTTCTCACACAAGGGACTGTGTGATTTAAGTTTGGGGGAGGGTTCAAGAGATGATTTAACCTTGTTTTCTTTGTTCTTAGTTTTTCATTCATCTTTTGCATAGAAAAACCAAAAAAATCATAAAATTTTCAAAAAAATCCAAAAATATTTTCATCTTTTTGCATTCATATTTGTTAGACTTGTTTAGGATTGCATTTTTCACTTGCATTGTTGATTTGACTTTGAAAACTTGTTCATCTTTTGCGATTTCTTGAGTGCCCTGTTTTTAGATTCTCTTGTGCATTAGGGTGAGATTGATTGAGCAGCAAGAACCATGTTTATCTTGATCATATCACTGCATGCACATCTCATTCAACCATTGCTGTGATTTGATGCATTTCCCTATTATTGAACCATAACTTGATCTTTAATTGCCAACTAGATCCTGACCCGTGCTTGGGAAGCACGAGATGAAAAGTTTTTTGTAAATGTTTTTATAATATTGATACGGTAATTATTTTAAAAAAAGTTTGTTATGTTTTCATGCAAGATACTGACTCTGAGGCAGTCTTGCTCAAACCGCCTTCAATATGTTTTGACAGTATAACATACAGATATGTTGTTTTACGGGTTTGCACAGTTTCATTTGGTGAGTTATATTTTGGTTATATACGTATATCTCATTCGGTTTAAAGATTTACCGTTTTGCTTGGTTTCATAATGTATGGTTTTGCGGGTTTGATTTGGTGAGTTATAAGTATAGAATTAATATTTCAAATTTGATAACCCCTATTTATTATTTCCATTTGTTCCAAAATTAATTCAGTTGCAGAAATCATAAAAGAAAATCAATACTCTTAAATTATAACTCCTTAATTTGGGTATATTCTTAAGTTTAATAGTATAGATATTTTGGGTATATTCTTAAGTTTAATAGTATAGATTTAATAGTATAGATGATGACCAGAAATTGATTTGGTTAAATTCAGGTAAACCGAGCGATTGAATTCAATTTTGTTCGGTTTAGCTTATCCGACTGGTTTACTTTACAATTTGTAATTGAGCCGACAATCGCCTCGCCGTTACCGTTTCTTGCCGATTTTGTTTCGCGATATCATCGCAACATCTTCTCTTTCGACCAAAATCCGGTCGTCTCCTTCATCTTCTTCTTTTTCCTTTATGCTCCTCGCGTTAACACTTCTCCGCTCGTCTTCTTCATCTTCTTCTGTTACTGAAATTCTCCAATTGACGAAATCTCAATCGATCATTCTCAAACATTTTTGTGGTCTGACCTAATCCAGATCTTTTCAATGTTCGTGAAAATCCTATGCTCTACTCAAAAGAACCCAGCAAAATCGATCTCTGCAGCTGACGGGACTGTGCCCTTGCGTCTCCGTTCTGTAGGTCAGGTAAACCTCTAAGCTCTCGCAATTTCCTTCCCTGTAGCAAGACTTCGATTTTTACTTGCCTCCTAGATCAGATAACACAAATAAGATTCAATCCCGTCATAATGGTGAATTTATTTAACATTTCTTAATCACATTACTTGGTTGTATGTTTGACGGGCTGAGCGATCATGAGTGAAGCACGGATTGAAAAGGAGAAGACATTGCTGTTGAATACCAAAAAACTTCACTGCAAAATACTCAGGTAAATATTTTTCTTGGACACCTTTTCGTATCTCTGTGGTATCCGTTAGAATTATTTTAGGTTTTTAGTTGTGATTTGAATTTGTTACCATAAGGGAAACTTGATTTCTCCGTTAGATTAACAATTTCGTTGTTAAGTTATTTGCATAAACTAAGAACAAATTAAGACAAACGTAAATACAATCACAATATATAGGTAGTTCTCAAAAATGGAAAAAAGTTTTAAAACATCATTCTCATAGACTAACAAAGTTCACAACGTTTGAAGAACATAGGATATTTTAAAACCATAGTTGAAATGAAAGGTGCATACTTAGATTCTCATAGCTAAACTGCAAACAAAAGCTCAAGAAATACTTAAACGGAAAAGATCTTCATACTTCGATGGGAATGATTCAGTGATTTATCTCCTTCATTACTCCTTCTCATCATTCATCGCTCAGGTCCTCTTCTTGGTGCAATCTGCAGTAAACCAGAACCTAAGAATGGTCATAAGGAGCAGCCTACATTCTAAAAACACTTTGTACTTCCGAATTATAATACTTACAATATGTTCGTGAAATGTACCACTTCGTGGTGTCCAGGAGGATCATACTCAAAAGTAGAAATCCCTTCTTCATCTTCGACTTGAATAGGACCTGGTAGTTTATAGAGTAATGGTTGATCATTATCTAGTTGATATTGAGATGCTATAGCGTAAGATGAAGGTAACTTAAGGTTTTCAAAGTTTACTAACCATCTCTTCCAACAACACGCCAATTGGTTAATAGGCATATGTTTGTTCCGGTTTCACCATAACATAGCCAATTACGTTTAAAGAGAACCGCCAAGATCCCCTTTGCACGACAGTTTAGATGATTTCCACTGCATAACCATGAAATTGTGACATTCATAATCATATAACATATCACGTTTCTTAGTTTGGAAAAGATCTAATAAGTAGTTATCAAATTCTTACTCGTTGTCTTCAAGAACAAAGTCAATCGATCCGGTGGTCTTAGGATCATAGTTATGTATGTTTCTAGGCATAGAGTCATCCACTGTGAGGCCGAAATCTGAAACAGAAGATATGACGCCTAGAAAGTCTACAAAAACCGTTTAAAACAAAGTATCAAACTTTAACAAAAGGATTTTAATTAATCTTAAAATTTTGCTCTTTGACAATAGTATTAGTAAGGAAAATTAACCTCTAGTGTAAGAAGTTCCATCGTGAACAGTTCCGTTCTTAACATCCTGAAATGGAACCAAATCTAGCGGAATAAAACCATTGAACAATTCTGAAACACCAACTTCTGTGTTTCGCTTGAGAACGATCTCTTTTCTTTGTTTAGTCATACGAATCTCATTCCGGACAATAACAACTGAGAAACCAGTTATCGTGAACCAGTCTCCTTTCTGAAGAAGTCTCTTAAATCTCTTGGCATCAGCAAAATGCTGGACGAATGCATGCATCCTTGTGCCCTGTTTGCAAAAATGAGAAGAGATTAAAACATTAAAATTTGTTACCTCTAAAATATACTTGAATGTTTAACTGTATAGGTTAACTATTCACAAACCTCATCATCAACCACCAGGAAACTGAGGCCTTCACCATTCTCGACATCTAGAGTAGACCACACGTTCTCAACTCTCACTCGAATCATTGAATCATCTCCATTGGGTGTAACCATGGCGAGTCTCTCAAAGTTTGCCATTGAAGTTGTTTTTTAGGTTTCTTTTCTTCTTTACAGAGTTTTGATTGAAATAGGATGAATTTTTCCGCTTATATATGATGTTCTTTCTAGGGTTGCGTTTATGTGGACGGTTGCATTTAATCATGGATTCTTAAATATTTCCTGAAGATTTTCTGAAGATTGAATATTTTCTTGTGATAATTAACTGAATATACGGATATTTTCAGAAAAGGAGAGTTCATTAAGTTGCGGAATCTACGTAACCGGCTAGAGAATCATTACATATTCGAATAGATGCAAAATACACCAAGGTAAATGTTTGTTGTTTTTCAATCCTTTCCAATCCGTGTTTTTCTGTTTGTTTCATTTTAAGTTGTGACCTACTGTTATGTTATTAGAAAAGACTATGAACAAATCAAATCAAACATAGTTAAATAGAAGCCAGAAAAGTTTAAAAAGGTTCCCAAACATGAAACAAAGGTTTAATACATAGTTGTCTTAGATAATAACCATGGACAGAAAAGTAGACGACGTGCATCATCTTAAAATATCTTCCGACATTTTGCTTGAGCATATCTGAAGTCCATCAACTTTTGTTGTCGGTTCTACAGCCATTGAAATAATCAAATTCCATTTCTTCAACATCTTCTTCGCTGCTGTCTTGTGAGGAAGAGCACCTGCATAGACACATTAGTTTTATTAAGCTGTAATTTTCAAGTTTTAAGCCTTTTCATAATTCTTGTTATCAGAGAGAGTCATTCTTAGAATACTTACATTATCTCAGTGAAATGGTCAACCTCATCAAAGCCAATAGGATTGAATTCAAATCTAGAGATTCCTTCTTCACTTTCGATATGAATTGGATCTACACATATAAGTTATAACATCCCATCAAGATAAATAATATTTAATAGTATAGATTATTCAAGGAAGGATGTAACTGGAAATTTCATCACTACCGCATCTTACCCGCCAATCGGTTAAGAGGCATACGATGGTCTCAATTTTACCATAGTAAAGCCAAAACGTTTAAACTTAGATGCTAAGGCACCCTTTACACGACACTGTATTTGATCCCCACTAAAGTAGCCACAAATAGTGTATGTATTTCAGGTTATAATTCAGAAACAATACATAACTTATTCCAATTTAGTTTTGTGTAAATATACTTACTCGTTGTCCTGTAGGGTGAAATCTATTGTGTTAGTGGTCTTTGGATCATCGTTTAAAGGGTTCCTAGGAATAGAGACATCTTCCCTGAGCATTGTCTCACGAACTTCAAGTATAAACCCTAGAAAGTTTACAAAAAAATGCCAAATAACATTAACATATTGAAAGCTAAATTTCCTATAGGGTTCCTCGTTTAGATGGTACAAAATGTTAAGTAAGAAAAACTAACCTCTAGGGAAAGAAGTTCGTTCATCATTCCAAAAATTCGAAACATAGTCGTAAGGAACGATGTCAAGCGGAATCCAAGCATCCGAGTCCTCTGCGGGTGTGACGCTGGTGTTGGACGTGAGAGCAATCTTGTTTCTGGCTTCCGTCAAACGGATCTCTGTATTCACCATCACCACGGAAAATCCGGTTAGAATCTTCCATTCCCCTTCATGAAGACATCTCTTGAACCTTTTCCTCTGATTACTTTGTTCAACAAAAGCATGCATCTTTGTGCCCTGTTAGAGTTGTAAACTTCAATTAGGAACATGATTTTGGAACATAAAGAACTTGTATATGAGAAAATAGGAATATGAATAGATTGAGAACAAACCGTTTCATCTACAAAAAGAAAGCTTAGACCTTCACCAACATCTGCCTCCAAAGTATCCCACATCTTTTCAACTCTAACCAAAACCCTCCAATCAGAACGATTAGGTGTCAAGACGTTGAGTCTGGTGAAGTTTGCCATTGAAGATATTTTCTAGATATGGAGTTCTTAGTTTTCTTCTCTGGAACATAAGTTCGGAGAACACTCTCCTTACATAGGGAAAAAATTAGGGTTGTCTTTGATTGAGACGGTTGATATTATTAAACGACGCAATGGTCAAATTTATTTCATTTCCTTTATTTTTTCAATTTAATATATTTTAAACATTTTTAAATTCTGGTAACAATGATTATATCTATGGCTATTTTCCCGAATCTTCTTTACCAAACTTTCCGGATTTAATGTCATAGTTAATATAATCATCATTTCATATATTAAATAGATCTTTACGGATTTGACACTATATTAATATAATGATGATTGCATATATGAAATAGTGCATGTAAAATCACTCACATATGGTTATAGAAGAACAGATTGAAATATAGGAAGGAGATAGTTTAAAGATAGAAGAAACAGATTCAAAGATGATAGTAGATAGTTCATAGATAGAATTGTGAATCAAGCATAAACTGAAACCATCAATAGTTCAAAAACAACATGGCAACAATCTCTAATGGAAATTCATACTAACAAAGTAGTATTTCATGGAGATACTAATACCACCTCCTCAACAGAGCCATCACTGTCATTGAAACTGCAAAAAAAATATGTTTAGCATAATTTGTATTAGTTACGATGAATGTTAACAACCAAAAATTAAGGAATGTAAAGATATTGTAAATAGATTTCTAACTTACTATTCAGCGATGAAATCATAAACATCCTCATAATCAGCATTGAACTCAAATCTAGATATTCCTCCTGCATCCTTAATCTTCAGCTCACCGGTTCCTATAATTTATTTTAACAGTTGATCGTAAGTAATGAAGTTGTAGACAATCTTTCATTGTAGTAACTATTTCGAAATGATGAAATTAAAAGATTGCATACTTTGTTCTCCGTAAACCATCCAGTCGCTCATTGTGATGAATGTTTCTGTTGTATCATGATACCACCATTTATCATATAGCTGATCCGCCAAGACTCCATAAGCTTTGCATTCCAGTGTTACACCACTAAATTCAATATGTTAAAAAACAGTTTAGTCTCAAAAAACGAAATATATCATAACGGGTAGAAGTCTGAATGAAGTCACAGACAATTTTGCTTCACTTACTCTAAGCCCTTTATTGTGAACATGACTCTAGAAGTCTTCTTGGCAGGAGCTAGTCTAAAGTTGTGGTCCTTCACTGTTGTTTATCTCTTCAACGTCATCCAGATAACCTATAAGATCTAGTATTCATTCAAAACATAATGTTAAATTGTCTGTGACTAACTCCATTAAAGTTGTGCTTCTCTAACAGTAGTATACAATATGTTTCATTTTCCAATACAAAAATGTAGAGACGTATTCACTTACCGATAGGATGATGCGAGTTGTATACTCCATTCTTTATAGATGTGTAGTCCTTGAACTCCATGTAATGGTCTTGATGAACACCAGTTGACACATGCAGATCTGTATCCTCGGTGAAGATGATGGTATGATTATTCTCAGAGAAAAGTGAAGGAGTTGGTGTTAACTCAACGATGAATCCTGAGATAATCATCCAGTGGCCTTCGTGCAGATTGAAGTCGAAATCGTCATTGAGGCTAATCTCCGGACTAACCTTAGCAGGTATTTTTCACCCTTTTCATTTGACAAAGTAGAACTGAATTAGTTGATAATCCAGGTAAGCCAGATAAAACATTAGAGCTATCTTACTAAAAAACAATAGGAACTCTGAAAATTACATGTTCATCGACTAAAAGAAAACTCAATATGTCTCCACCTCCTACTATCATCTCGTTCCATTTTTTCAAAATCTTCACTCTTATTATATAATCATTCATGAGAGGAGAAAGCTCAGCGATCCTAGTAAAATTAGCCATGTTCTGAAAGATTTTCTTAAGTTTTCGTTTAGACCCTCATACAGAAAGAGCTATTCATCTCCCTTATATAATTCCAGAATTAGGTTTTATCCTTTTTTGTTATGCCTCTTAATTTTTATGTAAACAAAATATTTCAGCAATATATTTGTTATGCTATTAATTTTTTAATGTAAACTAAATATTTCAGTCATAGATTCGCATTGACGGATGTTTGTCAGTTTTGTCTTCTCTATGTAAACAAGAAAAGCTGATTTCGACTCTAGTCTAACATGCAAAGGTGCAAGGTATGCATTAACTGAATAATCATAATGAATAAAATTTAATCTACTCGCATAACAGGTTAAAAACATAAATTAAGCTGATCCATATCTCCGAGCATGGACTCAGATTTGTTGAAAATGGGCCAAAATTCTTATAAAAAGTTTAACAACATAATACAGATGATTTAATTTAAGATCAAAATATCTTTAAACGACAACAAAAACACAACAAACGACATAATCCCCAAAGATTATTTAAATATTCGACATAGAAGAGCGGGTTCTAGAATAGTTCACAACATTATAATTTTAGTTCAACTTATTTTCCCTCCAAGTGAAACTCATTTTTCAGGGAGACCAATCCAGCTCAACACTTGAACCATCACTCTCTATCCTTGTAGGGTCACTTTCATTAAAACTGCACAGAAGATGTTTTATTCCAGTTCTATTAGTTACAGAGAAAAAATTTAGACTCTAATGCTAATTGATTTTTCACTTACTATGCTGCCCTGAACTCATAAACATCCTGGTAAAGAGCATTGAACTCAAATCTAGAAATTCCTCCAGCATCCTTAATCTTATCTCGTTGGTTTTTATGTACTTTCATTTTACATAGTTTTAGCACATCTTTTATGCATCTTTTGCATAGTTTTAGCTTCCATTTGCATCATATCTTGTTCCTTTTCTCTTCTTATGCATTCATGTTAGTTTTAGGTTGCATTTGCATACATATGCATGTTTGGCCCTTTGAAATAGGTCTTTTGGAGCATTCTGGAGCATATGGACATAAGGAGCATGGAGGGACTTGGCGCATGGAAGCAGCTCAACTGGACACGCAAAGGAAGAAGGGAGAAGCCATCTTGAAGACCAGCTCGACCGTCCACTCGACCAACCGGTCGAGTTCCTCAACTCGACCGGCCAAGCTTCAACTCGATCGAGCTGGGGAGTCAAAGTCAAACCCGAAAAATGTTGCTTCCCCCTTGACTTCCCTTTGACCCTAAACCTAATCCTCTTGTATTTAAAGGCTCTAAGCCACGAAAAAAACCAAGCTTTAGATTATTTTGTTTTAGCTTCTCTTTAATTTATTGTCTTTTACTTTTTAGAACCCTAATCCCATCTTTGTGTTCTTGAAGCTCTTGCTTCTTGAATCTTAGATCCTGGATTATTTGCTTTGTATTTGCACTTGCTTATTTCAATAAAAGTTGTTTAATTTCATCTCCTCTTTCTTATGATGTCTCTTTTCATTGCATTTGCTTGTGTTTACATTCATGTGTAGTGAGTAGTTACCCATTAGGGTTTGAGATGGGATAGATTAGAGGTTTCATATGCTTAATCCTTCTAGCTTATGGTCTTAATCTAGATTCTCTCTCTTTTGGATAGATCTTAAGGCTACATGACCACTACCCCTGGCTTGTAAGTCCTTAGGCGACTCCCCACACGAAAGTGATGGCATTCGCTGGAAAAGATCCACTAAGAGCTCCAATATCTCTTGCTCTAGACAATAGAGGTCTAAGGGGTTGGATGGATTAGTTTGGGCAATGATCCTATAGCCTCCAAGGTTTGATTCTCACTGGCTAACCCCCTGTTTCTGAGATCATTCCTTGGTTGATAGCCTCCACCTTGGGAAAGGGTTGGCTAGGCATTGAGAAGCCCAATATCAAGAGAAGCCTTGATACAAGGAGTTTT